AGTTTTTCTTGTGCAGAAAAAACAAACAAGAAATAACCTGCCATTTGACAATGATAATGACAATCACAATGACTAGTCATTTCGTTTTTACGGCCATTTTTTCTGCTTGCAAACTCATGTATTTAAGCTTTAGTAAATAATGTGAATTTGTTGAATGAGTTTCAACTTTTTACTTTAGTGTTGGTTGTTCTTTCTATTTTAAAACTAAGATTTTTTCATGTTTTTCACGATTAGAGGATGACGTTTTTAAAGAGCTTGCGTTCGTTTCAAGCGACCCAGAGTGTAATGAGAATCGCTGACGCTCACCTTTTGACTTACACCTGATTATTGGAAACAAATCACAGCTGATTAACGTGAGGTTGCGGCCAATAAATTGTGCTTGCTTTAGACCATTTTTATTTGGTCACTCCCAGTTCATCGCTTGCTTTGAGAAAACATCCCGATACTACCTATAATTATTTATATATTGTCAATTATATATTAAATTTTTACGAAATATAGAAAAAAATGTAAAATTGAAAGAAACACACCAGAAAATATCTACGAGGAGAATGAAAAGTTGGAATGAATATTATAAGGTGGATCTTAAGAATTATACCAGAATACTGAAATAATCTCAGGCTTTTTAAAAAAGGCAACTTAAGGCGCACGCTTTCTATAGTTATATCTGGAGAAGGGATGATGGAAGAATATCCGAAAAGATGTTGTGTTGCAATATCTTTAATAGTAATGCAAAAACTGGCTCGATCACACAGAAAAAATTAAAGAAAACGTTCTAAAATTAAGTTGTAAGATAATAAAGATACTAGAGTAAAATGTAGATCATCAATCTATAACATCAATTTGTAGACACAGGATAAAAACCAACAAATATGAACAGAAGAATGATGAAAACATTGCGACAGAAAGAAAGTGTCACAAGAATAAAATGGAGGAGCTTACTCTAACTAAACAAGTTGTTGGGCAAGCAAAAATGGTGTATCCTTCCATCTACTGTCACACACGGATAGTAACATCATTACTAGGGATAGGCCCTAAAAAATCTTGAAATATGCTTTTTAAAATTTTATTTATGACCTCAAAGTTCTTAAATATGCACTTTAATAGGTAATTCATCTTAACAATATTCATTTCCTAAATAAAGCTATCTTGATAAAATTCAGGAGAAGCATGCTTGGGATGAAAAGATTCAGTTTTGTGCAAACATAATTTAACCTTCTTATTTAGCGGGAGAAATGATTGAAGTAAATGTACACCTTAGTGAAGTACACTGTACGTCTGTTTAATTTTTTTATCTGGTTTACAAAATATGGTTTAAAGAATTATCCTACATTTGTACAAGTATTATATGATTTATGGGAAATACAAAATCTCGAAGTGATTCAACTGACAAACTCTTTCTAACAAATGCAAGCTCACAAATTAACAGATGCTATGAAAACACGAAACGTTTCAGAGAGAAGTTTTAGAGAATTATGCAAAATATGCTCCCATAATTTCTGGAATAAGCACCAACAGGAAAATGGGCTAAATATTTACTAACATGTTAATCTACTTAGCATCCAACTCTAACCAAAAGTCAATTGTTAAATTTCACTTAAAAGCTCTTAAGCAACGGACAAAAAATATGGAAAATCATAAAAATTTGCTCCTTACTTATTACTGTAGGAGGCGGATTTTATTGATGTATATTTTTTTATTTCACTGTCTACAATGTCTTTTAGTATATATATTATTTTTGTTATAATGTAAGGAAATGACCCATTTTTAAATCACATTTTTTCCTGTTTTCGTCGCTCTCTGCTAATAAGTTATTTTTTTTTTAGGTTTTCGTCATTTTTAAACCATTTGTCGCATATTCCATGATTTTAATATCATTTTTATGATACTTGCTTTAAATAATATTTACGAGATGCAACAAATGTTCTCCACAGATTTTCTGAGTGTCCTATTCGATTTCTTTGCTCAGAAACGTATGTAATTTAAGGTTCCTGTTACGCCTATCACCGCCATTAAAGAACATTTCAAACGAAACGTTTGAAATCTGAGTTCACTTGAACGAATAGATGACGCTCCGATTACATGAGCAACTTGAGTTGTTCATCCGAACTGGTTTTTATCACAATTTTTACGTAATTTTTCTTTGATTTTAGGGCATTTGTAAAACATTTTACGAACACTTTATTGCTCAGTTTTGGCGATGTTTAAGTCATGAAAATCTGCCCCCTAATTATTACACATCTTCCCCCCCCCATGCGTTCGTCTCCTGTTCAGACTGAGCTGGCGGTTAAAATTTCTAGCCAGTCTGTGGGGCTGAGCGTGTGCAGCAGTCATGCAGCGTTTAGAGCAACGCTTTCCACTACCACACACGAGCAAGGCATGATCGGCCATTATGACCGACAAGGGTTTCCTGTAATTGTCTTATTCTACCGTTTTGTGCGAGAGAGTAGCAGTGTCCTTGCAAGGCCAAATTTTTTCGACTTGGGTCACCCATGCTTGTCTTTATGCGTCTGGCAAGTGTTTCCACACTAATTGTGAATTTGAACGTTCCCGTTTCTGCGTTGACGTTTCGTGCTGAATTGAATGCACCGTTGTGCCTGCTGTGCTGTCTGATTAGTTTATAGTTAACAATTATCTTCATTACATGTTTGAAGTGTGTCATCGGACAGGATATACCCATCAACATTTTGGCCGCTGATCTATTGCTAGACTTGGGGCACTTGCATCCTCCTCTGTCACCGCGTGCGCACGTATCTGTCGTCAACAATTAAAAATATTTTATTTTTTAAATACTAAATCTCCTTGAAAATGCAACAAATAGTGCTCGAACATTTTTACACATGTTTAGTGGGTTTCGTTTATAATGTTCATGACTCAAAACGTACCAAACACGATATTACTGGCCCTGAGAATCATGGCATTGGCGTTTTTTTGCTTTACGATCAAACTGTTATAAAATATCAAACATTGTACATTGAATAAAGTAGTTGCACAGGGGCAGAAAATCCTGTGTTAGGAGAAAGTGATAGTGTTGTTTAGCGATATACAGACAGACGTTTTGGGTGCTCAAAAACATATTTTCATTACATAAGTATTTGTACTACCTATATACTCATAATATATACCACTATACAAGATAGCATAAAATTATCAGTACATATTCTCTCTCGTACAGGTGTGGTTAATTTACGATGAAAAACGTGAAGCTTGATTTTGTAGGACTTAGTTTTCATTGGCGGCTTCTGTCTATATAGCCGAGAAATTTCAAGGGAATCGTAAACATTTCGCAATTCCTCTTTAAATGTTTGTGTGATTGTTTACACTCTCTTGTGAAAAAGCTACCAGATAGCAATACAAGCTGCAGGGAAGAAAAACTAATTTGCAAATATTTTCTCATAAATATTGCCTTGAAATGAAGATATTGGATGAAGAACTTTTTTATTTCCCCGGCACTAATAAATGTACAAGTATTTGGGCAATTGAACTAATAATAATTTGAGTGTAATACCAACGTCAAACATAATGACTATCCAACTGAAGAAAAATCCTGGCCAATTATTTCATTTTCAATAATTATACGACATTCTAGCAACCATATTCTAGCTACATATGTTCCAGCTTCACAAAAAATAGACAATAGACAAGAAATTGTATTTGGAAGCTTACACAAAAACAATTCCTGCAGATAATAATTCATGTAATGAAACCGATTGGACAGAAACAATGGAATGATTTCTACTGAAAGTAGAAATCCTCACTTCATCTCTTATTTTGAATTCATATAATTCGTCACTTCATCATGAATACATGTTCCAATTAAACATACTATGTGGCGTTGCCATAATTGCCTAAACGTGTGACGTTGTTTAGTGCAGAGAAAACGAAATATATCAGTAAATGGGAAAATAAGTAATTTATCAACGAAGCTTTTCTGACGTGAAGACTATAGGGTTGACTTGAGTAGTGTCTAATGACATGTCCCAAAAGATTCGCTCGCAGTGTCCGACACATCGGCAGAAAATAACATGAAATTGCGATACCATTCATCAAATCATTCATTTATTCCTGATACTGCAACAGGCTCAGATAATGGAATCTTAAAAATATCATATCCCCGAACTCGTAGAGACACTTGGTATCTAATCATTATCTGCCTGAGGCGGCTACACAAAATAACATTTATTTATTTATTTTGCATCAAAACCACTTAAAAACTCTGTGTGACGTGTTACGGGGAGAAATGAATTGTATAAACGTCACATCACCTCGATATGATAACTTTTC